TCTGGGTCTATTCATTGACATTTCTAAATTATCTTCAATGGTCCACCAGAAGTAGGTTTTCGATTCTAGGAATATTATGGAACACAAAACAAATTAATTAGGGTTTCACCGGAAGTTCCGGTTCCGGTTCCGGTTCCGGAAAGTTCCGGTGTTTTTTTGGTTCCGGTTCCGGTTCCGGGAACCGGAACTTAAATTGGTTCCGGTTCCGGTTCCGGCTCCGGTTTTCAAATCGGTTCCGGGCAAACCGGAACTTTTTTACACCCCTAAGGATTAGTTTTTTTATAAAAATATGGGTTGGACTTGCAATATTCTCCCCAGTTTGACTTGCAATATTCTGAAAATTTTCGCCTGCGGCGCCAGAAAAAGGTCAAATCTGGCTTCTAGTCCTCACAAATTCTCAAAATTTTCGCCTGCGGCGCTGAAAGATAAAACAAATATGTCACATGGTTCAACTAAAATCTCAGAATTTTCGCCTGCCACTGGTATATCGGAGGAGTTGAATGGTATATCGGAGGACTTGTATGGATTAAGGTGGATCTTGAGTCAAAGGGGGTCCTAAGCGATATTGAGGGATTGAGTCTTAAAATTTCTTGTTTGACTAAAAACTGGTTAACATTTTCGCTTATGGCTTTATGAAATTTTCAAAATTTTCGCCTGCGGCGCTGAAAAAAGAATAAAGTTGGCTTCTCGGACTTCCAAAATACAAATTATTTTCAAAAATTATCACATACAACGCTTTAAATTTAAAACTACTAGATGGACTCCAAAAAAATCATAAGAATTTAAGAAATTTGATATCTATGATTTGAGATTTGATATCTATGGCTCCTTATATCACCCTTATTTCCACATAACTTTTTATCGCCCGATATCAAACACTTATATCCTACAAATTCGTTATACTCCACTCCATAATACACATATATCACTTAACCGCCGACAAATTTTCGGTTCGGTTTCGGTTAACCGAAAGTTTCGATACGGTTAATCGTCTCGGGTTTAGTCAAGCGAAGAATTTGGCTAAACCGATAACCCTAATTAACATAAAAATTTTTAAAATTTGCTAGCAAAATTTTTTTTTGAAAGTTCCGGTTCCGGGCCGGAACTTTGAAAAGTTCCGGTTCCGGTTCCGGGAACCGGAACTCAAATTGGATCCGGTTCCGGTTCCGGTTCCGGTCAAAATTTCGGTTCCGGTGAAACCCTAAAATTAATCCTTTCAAGATATAAATGCGAAAATTTTAGGGAAATTACAAAAGACAAAGGAAATGAATAGAGTTTGCGGATGAATGAACTATAATGAACAGTTTGTGGGTCCAATGAAAATCTATGAGTCCAAAGAGATGGTCCAATGAAAAATTACTCGTGCAATTAATATCTTATGATCCCATTTAAAAAAAGTCAACCCTGAAGACCATACCCTGAAGGGATTAAGGGAATATCGTTTGTTTGAAGGGATTAAATAGGAATATCGATGGATTAAAGATATTAGAAGGGATGTCGAGGAATCAAAAGATAGGGAAAATGAAAAAAACTATTAAGGGAAATGATCAAAAATGCGAATTTTTTTCGCATATAGCATCTATAATTCTCAAAATTAATGCCTGCAGCACCAAAAAAGAATGATTCCTTGTCAATCTGGACCAGTTTTCTTTTTAACTTAGCCTCATTCAATCGTCATCTTCTTCATCATCATCATCTCCCTCCTCTTCCTCTTCTTCTTCGTTTGTTGCGTCACAAGAATCCCCATCATAATATGTTGTAATGTAATTAGTAACCTTTAAATTAGGATTGTTAACAACCGATTTTAATCGAAAATTCTCTTATCTGCCTTTCATCATTTTTAATTTTTAGAAATGTGAAAACTAATTTGTAAGGAAAAAGCAAAATGGTGGGAAAAGTATTTTGAATAAGCTAATATGTATTCCTCTCATAGATTTTTTGGAGTGATGAGCAGTGCTTGAAGCTGCTCGTACCAAAATTCGTACTCGTACCTCGTACTCGTACCTGGTACGAAGTACGAGTACGCGCAAATTTGAAACTTCGAAGCACTGGTGATGAGATAGAATTTGTGTAATAAAACTCATTCAAAAAAACTCCTTAAAACAAACAAATATGTATGTACCTGTGCAGAAAAATGACGAAATTGAGGCGGAATAAATCCTGCCCCGAATTCAGTCATTTCAGTTACATTTGGACTATAACCGAAGGTATCAAATGTCTGAAGCAAATAACCATTAATAACTTGTTCTTGTAACTTTGCTTGAAGATCTTCGTCATTTATAGAATAATAAATAAAATATAAATCATCAGAATTCGCAATAATAGTTGATAACATATTTTTTTGCCAATCTTGCATTCTCAAAACATCACTAAACAATGGGACTTCTGAAAATATTTTTTTTATTTTTATTAGGACAAAATAATTATCCAGGGTACACATTTGAAAAAATTTAATTAAATTTTAAAAAGAATTACTATAAAACGTAAATAGAAGGCAAATACGGTAAAAGAAGTTCTCTTGATTATGTATACCAAAAGTTGGATTGTATGAGGCTTGAATATCGTCTTCGTTTTGTTCAAGTTCGTATAGAAGAATTTCACGAACTGTGATTAATTAATTTATTTATTATTAAAGCCTCATAAAAATGGTTATATTTATGGAATAAAGAATAATTTACACAATGATATTTATTAGGGCCCGATATTACGAGGCGTGGACCGATTGCACGGGGCCAGAGGGTTGCAGGAATTTGTGTTGGAAAAGCTGGGCCTCCCTCGAGTCAGAGAATTCACAGGGGAATTTTTAAAATTTTATGTAACATATAAACTAAACTCATTATTTCTCAAAGAAGAATTTTTTCTGGATTATGAGATAAAAACCATCTTGTAGCAAATTTCAAGGGCTTTCAGAAAAGCACAAAATAAAATTTTTATTTCACATGTAAGGGGTCGAAAATATTTTTTAAAGCCGTCTACCCCCGGTTTTTCGTTGATTTTCGGGTTTTCAGATCTCGATGAAGGAATTATATTGGAACTTCGATTCGTTTTTATTTATTATAGATATCAATAGACCACCCCTAAGGTCACAAATACAAGGGGTCCTATCATTTTGTTACACTCTAAAATCAAATTTATTATTATAAAATTTTTTTTAAAAATTGCATTAGGCTTTTTCTTTTCATTATTGATACATAATATCCTTACCTATATTCTACCAAAATTTGAAACAAATCCATTCGATATTTGGCAGAATATCGATAAAAAACTAGAGGTCCTATCATTTTGTTACAGAGTGTAGGCTCTGCTTCATAATTATACGATCACTTAAATTTTTTGTATTTAATCATCTTTTTTATGACAAATTGGATTGAAACTTTTGTCAAAAATTCCTTTCGTATATCCTGGTTGTTTTATATGAAAAAATTCAAATGTTAAGACAAAGCCGCAAAATTATTTTAAAAATATACGATCACTTAATTTTATAAGCAAGTTTCGACATTAGGGGTGTCCGAAAAATCTACAAAAATTCAGGTAAACTTATCAAGTGATATAAAGAGAAAATACAAAAGAAATAAAGTTGTAATATAATCCCTTCATCAAAATCTAAAAATCCAAAAATCAATTATGAAGCACGTATAATTATGAAGCATGGGTTTTTTAGTATTTTTAAAATAATTTTGCGGCTTTGTCTTAACATTTGAATTTTTTCATATAAAACAACCAGGATATACGAAAGGAATTTTTGACAAAAGTTTCAATCCAATTTGTCATAAAAAAGATGATTAAATACAAAAAATTTAAGTGATCGTATAATTATGAAGCAGAGCCTATCTATGCAATGTTTTTCTCACTAACTTGGATGCGTCGTACTTACGAATTTCGATTAATAAAAATTCCGATTATGACACGACGCAGCTTTTTAATTAAGAATATATCGGAACCAGGGGTGTTATATTTTGATCACTATTCTATCAAATAATTATCACATTTATGTTTAGAAGGTAATTATCACATTTTATATTATCTGTTTGGCATATATTGGGGATCATGCCGAAAGTTAAAATATATTCCGGATTTTTGGGAATCGGAACGTCAAGATTTCTGAGCTACATATAAAGATGTGGCCTATCGGGTATATCTCTTTCGAATAAAACATTTCTAGTAGATAACTAGACTTGCTTGTTCCTAAAATAAATAACCTACCATATTGCCCATCAATGTTTACACTCCGATAGTTTTGTAGGCTAGTAAAGACATATAACTGTTCGAGGGATTTGTACAAAGAGTTTGCACGTACTTCAAATTCATCATATGCTTGTATGTAAGTTAGCAATGCTATTTGCAAACTGTGGAAATATTTAGTATTAGAAACCATTTTTCTATTTTTTCAAATTTTTCAATAAAAATTTCTTCATCGGTAAAAAGTATAATAAAATCGGGCTCACTATGAAATACCGTAAATCTTCATAAAATGTAGGAAAGAACATGAAATATTTCCTTAGTGTATTAGAGCATAATTGAAACTAACTTCCTAGTATTCTAGAATACACTCCGCCACATAATTATATGAACACCCCTAAATTTCCACTTTTTACCGTATTTAGCAGGCAAATACCGATTTTTAACCTTAATATATTTTAGAAATTGGCTAAAATCGTCTTAGAAAAAAGAAAATTTAAAAATTACCTTTAAACGATTTTTAAATTTTCTTTTTTCTAAGACGATTTTAGCCAATTTCTAAAATATATTAAATTTAAAAATCAGTATTTGCCTACTACATACGGTAAAAAGTGGAAATTTAGGGGTGTTCATATAATTATGTGGCGGAGTTTATTAATAAAATTATGATATAGTACAGTTTATATTATACAAGAGATCGGACAGTAAGATACTCCCGATGGTATAATAAAATAAAATACCGACAATAGGAACCCATATACCATATGGGGTATATACCCATACCCCATATCCTTACAAATTCTTAATAAAAATAAATTAATTTGTTTAAAAAATCCTTAATTCTAATAACTCCTTTATTATTTAAAAACAATATTACTCTGATTCTGCAAAAAAATTCAAGTAACTTGCAGCAAAACCATCGTAGACAAACATCTGTACAAGTCTCCGAGTTAATGTAAACAACTGATACAAAATAAATAAATTCCTTTCGTGTTGTGTAGGATTTCTGAGCTCTCGTATAAAATATTGAATTTCTGCATCCTCTAAATGCCGACGAATAGGAAATCCGTCATGATTCATTTGAAAGCCAAGATTATTCAAAAATATTTGAAAATTCTCCCTCGACATAAATTGCCCATAATCAGCAAGTCTTTCATAAATAAATGCTATATTGTCTTCACGTGAAAGGTTAATTGCATCAAAATGACGGTTTAGAGTAACTTCAAAATGTTCTAATACCTTAAAAACTTTCATTAAATATATGTATGAACTAGGAAAGGCATATTTTCTAGGGTTTCACCGGAACCAAAATTTTGACAGGAACCGGATCCAATTTGAGTTCCGGTTTCCGCAAAAAACACAGGAACTTACCGGAACCGGAACTTCCGGTGAAACCCTAATATTTTCGTTTTTCGCTATAATCATTAATCCGCAAAAAACCGCGGAGCGAAAAGGGAGTTATAGAGAAGAGAATTGGAGTTCCGCAATTTTTGTAGAAAACCTGGGACAAAACAGTGAAGGGCCCAGTAGTATTAAAAACGGAAGATTGAAGGCTGAAAAATTCTCAAAATTTAAGCCAGCGGAACGAAAAGGGAGGTATAGAGAAACGGATTTCGTGATCACCTTTCGACAATATACTTAATCCGACGATATAACAATTAATCTCCCGAATTTCCCAGATTTTGCTCGTAATACACCCAAATTCCACGATAATCAGCCCAAATCCCGCTTAATCCCTTGATATCCGTCTCATTCCTCTGTTATCACTCGATATCCGCATAATTATCCATTTATTTTCCACCCGGAGACTGAAGCAGCATTGATCATGGGTGTATTATTGAATTTTTTCGGATTAAGAGGGATATAGGCGGATTAGGAAAATAAATGGGATTTGGATGATGATCCCCTGCATCACTATCAATAAATGCCCAATATGTACCCTGCACTGATAATGAGTAAAAGTATTGTTTTTGGCAAAATTATTTTAGAATACTGTTAAATAAAAATTACTCGATTACTCGAACTCGACCTATAAAGTTGAGTTGAGCTCGAACTCGGGTTTTTCTAACTATGATTACTCGAGCTCGGTTTTTTCCCAATTACTCGATGTACTCTAATTTAAAGACATACCGCATTAAATTTTTGAATGGTAAATAAAATTTCTTGATCATTTTGCCAATTATTGTAAATTATACCAAGTATACCCCCACCATTTTGTAAAAAAGTATCTCGAATTGGCATATTAGTTATGTTCATTGGATTAACTTCAATCGTATTCAATATACGAATAAGAAGAGAAAGGTCAACAATATTAAAAGATTTCAAATTGGGAGGCTCTCGCAGATGAGAACGGCCAGATTTCATTCTACTCCCTACATAATTTTATTTAAAAAATTTTTATTCTTTTATTTGAGATTGTAATAATTATACTTTTAATTATGAAAAAATGACAATTAATATCTCTATTTAGATCCTATCCTATTTGATCCCGTCAACTTCCATTACAAACGATATCCCTTGGAATCCCCAGGTATATAGCGTTAGGCATTGAGAGATAGCTGTAAATTTCGATAAATTTTTAATTAAAGTTAAAACATTTAAGAAAAATTCAAATTTACTAAATCTGAAGTTATAAAGGTTATAATTTTAATCAAAATTGAAACCTATTTAGTAAAATTCAGACTTAGTTAGGCCTTTTTTTGGAATTTTTTGAACCTATTTTTGGATTTTTTGGACCTAAAGAGGATCCTATTTGACTATTTTTTGACCTAAAATGACATGCTCTAGTTATGACGGAATGAAAGCGTGCAATTACTTTACGGGCACTCTGTATTTTACTAGGGATCTTGCAAAGAAAAAATGTAAAATTTCAATTAGGCCTAATATGTAAGATGGAGTTTACAAAATTAATGACCTACTTTTAACTAAGAATTTGTTTTTAATTAATTTACCTGAGGGGCGATGATGCATTCCGTTGACAGATTTTTGAGACAAACTCTCAATAAAAAACAATAAAAGATTTGTAAAAATGAGTGGGTGAAATAACATTTTTCTTTAAATTTTTTATTTTAAAATTTGAAAAGTTAATGAAAATTGAAAATAAATAAAATTTTTAATTTTCCAAATGTCTAAAAAATTCCAATGGGAGGGGTTAAATTCTTTTCTTTAAAGAAAAATGGATTCTGAAAATATGTAATCTGATAATTTAAAGAACATATAATTTGTTAGACAGTCAGGATTTTTATTTATTTACGTAAACATGATGGACTGCTAAGGAACCCAACCCAAATTTTGAAACAAAAGAAAAATTCAAATTTTGGGTTTCAGTCCCTAATTGACCGGTAAATGCAATTTGTCCTAAAATGTAATTTGGATGTCGACCAGAGATGAATCGGAATTCCGAGTTCCGACAGTTCCAATTTCCGGCACCTTCATCATTTCCGATTCACCTCTGAAGCCGACATACACATATACAAATAGAGAGATATTATAAATATAGACAGGATTTGCATTTGTTAAAAATGGCAACAATATAAAAACTGCCTTGGAATTTTATATTTTATAATTTTAAATGTAAAGCATAGTATAGCTATTTAATTCATAAGGCTTAGCAGTAGGCAGCATGGTGTAATGGCTAACATATCAGTCCGGTCTACTGAAGATGCTGGTTCGCTCCCAGCCGCCGATTAACCTTTTGCACTAGCTAAAGGAGAGAAATAGCTATCGCCCAGCTGCTTTACTTTAATTTGAAAAGAAAATTTTATTTTAAATAAATTTTTAAAAGAATTTAAAAATGAATTGCAAAATTTAATAAATGCTTTACCAGGCAGGCTTTACAGGCAATTTTTTTCTGACTGCTACGTCTCAATACCTAACTCCTGATTTATTCGATAGACAATGGCACGGGTAAAGAAAATATTCTAGAGGAGAGGAAATAAAAATTCAATAAAAAAAATTTTTTAATGGAATCAATAAAAATTTTTAAATTAAAATTTTTAATTAATTAAAATTAAAAAATTATTTACAGCATATACTTTATTTATTCTAAAAGAGCCTACATTTATTTTTCATGCCCTTATTAAGTTTAATAACTACTTCCAAGCAGGGTTTTCCAAGCAAATTTAGAATTCAAATTCGGGGACGGTTAAGGATTATTGGATATTGTTACTAGTATATTAATAATTTGGTCAAAAAATCATCTGAGACCTTGCAATCTACTTCAGAATACGCTAAATAATCATTTATTAAAAAATATTTTGATTTTCCAGTCTGAAACCCATAATGATGAAATTTAGGGGTGAACTCATAATTTTGGGACAGAGTGTATACAAAAACCTCATAACTCCCCACACTAGCCCAAGTAAACTGAATTTTTATTTTGACAATCTACTTAGAAATCTTCAGATTTCAATACTTGTAATAAAATACAACTTTTCATCTTTAATCCTTACTTTTTCTAATTTTTACAAGTTAATCAACTCAACACCCCAAACATACAACTTCCTTTTTTTAGGCTTTTCCTCTCCCATATTAATTGCTCACCACCAAACTACTCTCCATATATCCTTTGTACTTTTTTTCCGTTTCTACTAGAAAATAACCAAAAATAAATATATCTCCCCCTTCCTTTGTCTTCAATTTAATTGTCTCCATTCAGTACAAGTTTATTAAACAATAAAAACCTCAAAATTGTTGTTTTAGATTACACCTTCAAAAAATAAAAATGGGCACAAAAGAAAAGTTTTTTTTTCATTCCCCGCCTGTTCCGGTGTTTTTTAATTTGACTGCAAAAATTATTTTCTTAATTTTATTTGAAATGACTTAAAAATGATTTGTTCTGTTTGTTGGTTTCTGCTCTTGTTTTTGTGTGGGGTAAACTCTCAATTGCATAATTCTTTAATGGGTATTTTTTAAAATACAGTTAGACCTCTCTATACAGACCTACAAATACTTAGATATTCCTAATCTTAAGATGATAGATTTTTTAAATTTTTGTTGGATACTGATTCTCAGATGTTTATGAAATGGCTGCAGCCATGCTGAGATAAAAAAATCTCAAGATAAAATATCTTGTTTAGGGACAGATGAGAGAAGTGGGTGTTTCTCTATTTAATACACAACAAAATATAAGATATAGTTCTTCCACTCCAAAGGTGTATCCTATTAGTGATGTCTGGCTGTTTTTACATTCGTTTTAAATTTACCAGAACAACCCCGAGTCAGTTGTGAACAGTCTCACATCAAAATGTTCATCCACACTTGGCTTCCATTTAGCGGAAGTGTTTATGCCAAAGGATTTTTTCATAAAGATATTTGTAGAGTTCAAGGAAATGGAATTGGACATACAGCAAATATAACAATCCCTGTTAGTGCTGATTGTGGAATGAGAAGGAGAAGAAATGTTTATTTTTGATACAACTTAACCTCATTATAAGATCACCCTTGGGGATAAAAAATCGTACGTTAAAAATAGTAGTGTCTTATATTGAGGATATCGCTTAGTAAGGATACCTTATTGAGGTTGAGGATATTAAATTGAGGATATCGCGATATCCCAAAAAAGAATAGTGTCTTAATTGAGGCCTAACAATCGCCTAGCAATCTCCCCTATTCTATAACCCAAAATGTTTATCTCTTAAATCGGGATGTGTATTGGAGTTTCAAATAATGATGTTTGAATGTTTTTTTAAAGATGAATCCAAATGGATTGAGTTTGGAAATGGATGTGATTATTATGTTTCATAAACGATTTTTAACTAAAAATGATAGGGCAAGTAAATTATCTGGAGATTTTTTTAACTTCCAAATTTTAAAGGCTTTTCATCTCGAATGTCAATATATGGAACAACAGGAACAAAAACTTGGGAACCGACTAGAAATTAGGTCGGCACATATTTTTTACAGAAATTCAAAAAATAATTCTTTACTGCACTTTTAGTGCTCTTCCCTCAACGGAGATAGGCCAAACGTTGAAGCAGGTAAATTTTTGAGATATAGTTGATTTATAGTTAAGAAATGATTTCATCCCTTCCAAATCCCTTTCCTCATTTATTCCTCAATTAAATCATTCCCGTCTTACAATAATAAAAAATATTTTTAAAGTCACAAAATTTGCCAAAATGTCGTTATCAAGTACTCGGCTCTGAAAAAGGAGAACAAATTTCATTTGCAGCAATAGGCCAGCCGATAATTCACAAATGGATATGTAATTATTTGGGGAATGAAAATGAAGGGATTTATTGTTTAACAGTTCA